CAGACTAGCATCAGAGAATATAACCTAAAAATGCCTGACGCCTAGCTCCTTTTTGTTCTAAGTAAACATGTAAGACAGTGCATCAAGGCTGCTTCAGTATTTGCCGTAAAGTACTGAAACAATTCCCCCACTGTGGTTTTCACTGGCCCCACAGGTTCAATTCCCTTTAGAATGTAGTAGCAGGAAATACTGCATCTTTGACAAAAGAATGCAAGGAAATCCAGTAACTCATCTTTCCCTTTGTACCCTGGCTACTAAAAAGCAAGGTCAAATATCCTTTCTTACAGTGAATCTGTCTGCTTATTCACATTTTCAATAGCTTCATTTTCTATTTGTTTTAACAAGCTTAATGCAGATGTCTTTTGCTATAATCCTTCCAGTGGGGAGGGGCAAATGTCAGTGTACCAAATCCCACTTAATCTAATGGTACAGTCATTGTTACATAATTTTTAAAAATAACTGAAATGTAATTCCATCTTGTCAGTCACAAAAGCTACAAACATATGCATTCAGATGCAGATGATAATGTCATCATGAACTATTAATTAGCATCTTAAAGATTCACTCAAACTGTGTAAGGAATCACTGATGGGTTATAACATTACATAAAGCAACTTATTTGTATAACAGACACTTCTATTTCCCTAGTATAAAATACTTCTTCCCTAGTTGTCGGAGGAAACTAAAAACTCATTAAGAGTTTTCCCCCAATCAGTAGATTTGTCCCAGCTTTTCCCCTAAGTTTTGCCACTAATAGAAGTTCATGAAGTATCCTTAAAGAGACAATCCTGTTTCAGAATGCTGCATGTCTTACTACACCTCTTGTACAGTTTAGTACTCTATCCTAAATCTTAAGAGGAGAAAAACAAAACTTCAACAGTTGCCCATTTTAATATGGCTTTAAAAATAATCAAATATTTGCCTTGGAAGAAACTCAAATGACTATTTTAGTCCCTTAATAACCTCCAAATAATTGGGTTTACCATTTTTTCCACTTTTATAACAGTTTGGTGCTACAGTGGAGATGCGACCTCAGGCCCCTAAGAACAAAGAGTCTACTTTCTGTCAAAGATATATGAAATTTAAACTGAATACAATGTCTTAAGTTCTTCCAAGAACTTAAGTATTTTGTGACTACTCTTTAACAGGAGTATTTGACTTTCCATCTTACTTGATCCTGTTTTCCAGTAAAGAAACACAACATAAGCCTGAACTACTGGATTATACACAACATCTCAAAGCTGGTTCTACATATAAAAAATTGATGTAGATCTGTGCTTCAACTAATTTTTAAAAACAAAACAACAGGAGGCTAAACTTTGTTAAGCAAGTGTTACCTCTATTATCATTGACAGGAGACATAACCCAGAAAAATGAGTATTAGGACATGTAGTTTTGTCTCGAAACATGCATTTAAGAAAATGAAACTATGCACTTACGAGGAGGAAAAGGAACAGGAAATGTTAAAGACAACAGTTGCTGCACACAGCACTCACGCTACCTTAACTAAGAACAATGTTTCTAACAAAAAAAGAAAGCAGTAGCCTGGAAAAACCTCTTGATACTGCTACATTTTCTGAAGAATGAATTGCTCTTACCAGGGAAATAGACCAAGACTTATACTTGTGAAAACAGGTCAAAATGAGAAAATGAATGCCAAATGAAAACTAAGATATGAAGAAATGGTTTCAGATAAAGCTTCAGATGAACTTAGAGCACATTTTGAAAGAAAAAAAGACAAATACTAAAACAAAAAATTTCTTAGACTGTTTGCTATAAACTCCCTCTTCCTACTTTGTTCCAAAAAATTCAGGTCAGACAACATTTAATGAACATCCAAATGCCCTTCCATAAGTTCCGGAATATGTCAAATCAACTAGTAGCAGATGAAGAAAAGAATGGCAACCAAAACATTTGGCCATTAAATTTTAAAACTGTATTATTGCCTGTGAATGTGTGTGCTCAGTCATGTCCAACTCTCTGCCACCCCATGGACTGTAGCGCACCAACCTCCTCTGTCCATGGAATTTTCCAGGCAAGAATACTGGAGTGGGTTGCCATTTCCTCCTCCAGGGGATCTTCCCAACCCAGGGATCAAACCCACATCTCCTGCGTTGGCAGGTGGATTCTTTACTGCTGAGCTACTGAGACTTATACTGGTAGAAAGTCACAGACTAGAAATGAACTTACACCTCATGAAAAATATCATGACTTTTGGTCAACTTAAAGCTCATCTGTTAACTTTTCTCATTAAAAAGGAAAAATCCACTGAAGATATAATTTTAAATACTGATCAATCTTAAAAGCCAAATATATAAATGGATTCACTAATAACTTGGTAGCACATTATCTTTTTAACATTTCTGGTTGCTGGTTCATATTTTAACAAGCTGTTTTCAGAGAAAGGAAAAGATTTTTTGTAATATATTTATAATACCATTTTTTATAATAAAATGAAAATGCAAACTCTATCATTAGCAAGATTAAAAAACTCCAAAGTTAGACTATATGCAATAAAGCTTCCAAAGAGGGAAAAGAGGTCAAATGAAGACTAAGTACTGGATGGTGATGTGTTTGACTATTTAAAATATTTCATTATGTCACACAACTATTTAAAATACTTCATTGTCACACGACTCTCTTCATGTAACAGAACAGTTATAAAACTATACTGATCTGGATCTACTATAATTCAAACTACATTCCACATGCAATAACTACATACACCTAAGTTTGAATAACAGTTTTGAAGCAGCTCTTCAAAAACACAGAAATTACGATGGGTAGCATGGATCATGTAAATATGCATAAAGTGAATCCAAAATTCCAATTCTAACTAGATATTTCGAACTCCTACATGACTTTTTCTTCAACCATTGCCAGTCAAAAGCCAAGCAGAATTTTATCTCCTAGCCATAATACCAGTCACTCTAAGATGGGAATAATAGTAAAACTGTCAAAAACAGCTGAAAGGAGCAAACTAAGTAATCCACAAAGATGACAGTCCCCAAATAACTAAGTTGACTTTAAGAGTAAACAAAGCAACAATAAACTGGTGTACTCATTTGGGGGGGGGGATGGGGTGGTTATCCTACTCTCATATAGATGAAAATGATGCTCTGGTTTGGTAACTTCTCATCCTGCCTTCCCCCCACACAAGGCACTTTAACAGCTATTTGTTAACTAGCACGTACAAGGATGTGCAAAATGTTCCTAACAGTTAAAAGTGAGTGGTTATCAAACAGACTTCCCTGTCAGTTCATAAAACAATAAGCTCCCTAAGCAGACGCTAGAGCAGCTGGAGGGAGGGGGATAGAGGACGGGGACGGAAGGATTGAACCGAAAGAAACGTGAGACACAGTCCCCACTCTTCAAGAATCACTCAATTCGTTGGAGTACAAGAGATTACATGAAAGAGTCAGAGACGAATTAATTGCTAACCTGAGTAGTACAGACTTTTAAGTGCAAGAGTTGTTCAGAGAAGTTGAAATATTTAAAGACTGCAATAATAATATTACTTGTAACAGTTACCATTTGAGCACTTACTATAAGCCAAATGCTTTACAGGCATTAATCTTCGCAACAATCCTTTGAGTACTTATTATTCCCAATTTACTCAAGGGGAAACGGTCACAGTGGCTAAGGAACTTACCCAAGGTCACTTGGCTAGTTAAGTGGCTAAAACTACCGCCTACCCAGGCGATCCAATTCTAGCGCTCACACTAAGACTTCGGAAAGTAGCGCGAGTGCGGACGGGGGCTGGGGAGGGTCATGAAGGCTGGCGCGGGCCATGTAGGCTGGCGCGAGTCATGTAGGCTGGCGCGATTACACGCGCAAGATCCGACAACACGTTCCCCGCGTTTGGTCCCGGTACCGAAGTTCTAAAGATCGCATTTTTTGCACGGGCAACCGTAAACTGACTACTGGGCGGGGCGGGGAGGGGAGGGGAGGCAGGGGCGCGCAACCACGCGGAAAACAGCTAATGAAGAGTTAATCTCATACCCAGCTGAGCTTTAACTAATAAAGCGATTCAGAGAAGTCATTTGTTTTAAAATCTGGGGTTTGTTCCGCCGCTTAAACGAATTTTCCCCCCCGAGACAGACAGACCCGAAATTTGGGGCAAGGAAATGACGGGTTACGGCAGATTACGGTCTTCTGTGCTACGGAAAGAAAGAAAGAGGAAAAACACCCAAGTTTTATGACTACAGGAAACACGTTATTCTAGGTACACGAGAACCTTGGAGAGCTGCCAAAATTAGTTGCAGTCCCAGGACAAATGGGGTTTAGGAAACATTTAAAGACGAAAAAGTTGATTCCAAGCTGAAATGGCCCTGAGATGAAAAGACGGAGCAAAGAAATGCGGGTAGATCTTGGAGAAAGCGGCGATGCTTGCTACACTTCGCCCACGGACAGCGGCGCGGCGAGGGGCCGGGACGGTCTGAGAGACCGCTCCTCAGGACGGCGAGAGGTGCCAAGCGGGGTCCTTCCCGATGCCCTGGGTTCCGCGGCGGTGGGCGGAAAGGAGGGGAGGGAGTCCGGGACGATCCGGACTTCGGGCAGAGGATGCGCCGGGCTCCAAACTGCAGAATCGAACGGGTGAAGAGTAAAGAAATGGGACAGAGAGAGACGGAAAGTCGGAACCCTCCCAGCGCGGCCCGATAGAGAAAGGAGCCAAGTGAGCTCAGCGAAGAGGGGGACAAAAAGAGACGGAGCGAGAGCGCGGGGACCCGCAGGGACAAAACGGGAGTTCTGCTAAGAGGCTGAAGAAAGACAAGCTCTGGCGGGCAGCGGGGCTTTAAGGGGAGCCCAGGGAAGGCAGGAGGTCGGCGGCAGTTACCAGCACCTCTCCTCCCTGAGTTCGAAACTCCCAATATACCATCCACACCCGTCACCCAGATGGGGGAGGGGACACCTCTCCCCCCCCTCCCCCCAAATGTGAGAGCACTGCTGACGCCAGAGCCTGGCCCGGCGGAGCGCTCGCCTCCAGCCCGGACACTCACAATTCGCCTCTCCCTGATTTCTCCCAGTTCTTTATCCACTCTACAGGAACCACCACAGTTGCGGCCGCCATCTTCCCCTCACTAGTAGCAGAGGCCCGGATGTGTAGCACGCGAGCGAGGGGTCAAAGGGGAGCACCGCCCACGGGGAATGCCGGGAGCCGCGAGTTCGGTTTTTTTATTTCCCGCCCCACTTTCCACCCCACCCTGCGGAAGCCCGAGGCCCTGCCGCCAACCAGGTGGCTGGGACCCATGGGTCCCGTCGCAGAGTGCCTACGCTGGCCGCGCCCTCTGCAAAGCTGGCCCCACTTCCCTTTAGAGCAGAAAAAAATGCCATCCCCAGGCCAACTCGTAGCCTTTATCTTCTTCCCTCGTCTCTACTCCAGACCACTAATTCAAACTTGTGTTTTTAAAGCACCTAATGTGTGCTAGACACTGGGGATAGAGAAATAATAAGCCATGATTCCTACCCTCAACGAGCTCAGTCTGTGGGGAAGACAAACATATAAATACAGATCAATTACAATACACCCTGCTAACAGCTGAGATCAAAGAAATTAGTCGGGGAAAAGGCAGCCGATTATTTTGCACCAGGCATTTTGCTGTTAGGAGGGTTATAATCTTACTAGAGAGCAGTCGGCCTGGGGAACACTCGCAGCCACCAGCGCTGACACTGTATCAACCGCTATTACTGAAACCTTAGGCAAAACTAGGGGGCGCAAGTAACAAGAGAAACAACTTGTTTACATTTCCATAGTCTCAAAGTAGCTCCCAAGGAGACACTTATTTCAAAGGGCGAAATAGAAACTTTACGGTCGGAAAACATGGCCGACAGCCTCCTAATTCTGATCAAAATAAGCATTCCCATACATTAGACAAATGGGCGTCATATGCCTCCTGATGAGGTGCTAAGAAAAACTCTAACCAATTTTGTAGTATTCATTATACCAAAATTCGCATAACCTGAATTTAATCACGAAGGGCCATCAGACAAACCCATATTAAGGACAGTCTAACAAAATTATTGGCTTGCATTCTTCAAAATCATCAAGGTCACTAAAGACAAAGACATACTGAGGAACTCTTCCAGATTAATGAAAACAATAGAACTGATCCCAAGCCAAAAATATTATTTTGCTAAAAAAGGGGTCAATTGACAAGATTCAAATATCTGTAGATTAAGTAATAATATTGTATAAATGTCCATTTAATACTCGTTTTGTGGTTATGCGAAAGTCCTTAAGAAAATATGATGTATTTAGAGATAATTGGGGGCATTGTGCTGCAACTTTAAAATGTTTCAGAAAAGAACGAAGGATGATTAAGCAAATGTAAAATATTAACGTTTTAGGAATGTGGGTGAAGGACTGAACAGATTCTCTGTTCCATTTGTGCAACTTTTCAAAGTAAAGAGGTTTTTTTTAAAAAAAGTGTTTGAAAACTTAGAAAATACAGACATAAGAAATGAAGAAATTCTACCATACATGTATTAATGTATGAACTTTAGAACTAATATCTTGTATATTTGGCAAGTTTTATCAAATGAACCAGGTTCATTTGCATTGAAAACCTGTTCAAGAGACAGGCTGTATTTAGAATAAATTCAGGGAAATGCTACACTGTTTATTATGATCATTTTTCATCAGCTATATCTAGTCTCCTAATGTCCTGATTCTGAAATTCTAAAATACACCATTCACTTTCAATGACATCTCCAAAAAAAGAAAAAAATCTTTTGCCACTTCAAGGAGATTCAGCGATATGAGTTCCCTCTGAGCTTTTCATTTTTCATTATTCCCAAAAACTAAGGAATATTTTTAAAGTAAACAGAATGGTATAGTGAATCTTCATTGTACCATCATCCTCCCTAAAAAGTTTAAAATCATTGTTACAGGATGGCTTCTGTGATCCAAGAAGAACTATTCTGTTGCTTATGTATACTTCACTGTATAATCTACAGCAATGGGCACTATCCGCATTTGGGGTCAGATAATTCTTTGAGGAAGGCAGGGGGAATCCTGTGCATTGTAGAATGTCAAGCCTAGACCCACTAGGTGTCAGTCACACCTCCCATACCAGTGTTGCAACAGTATTTCCAGACATCACTCAGTGTCTCCTGGAGTATAAAATAGCCCCCTGTTGAGAGCTACTGAGCTATAATATTCTGCCATATTGTGGTTTACCTTGCCACTGTATCACAGTGATTTCTTCTTCCAAACACTGAACTGTGTGCAGCATGCATATTACTCAGTATCCCACAAATGTGGTATGATCTGACTGCAGTGATGTCCTTTGAGGCCTTGGTTTTCCCCTCTCCCAGAGCCTGCAGAACTATTTTTACATAGTATGATGACTCCTTTAGGAATTGCTCACAACTAATTGGCTTTCTTGCTCCATAAGATTGCAAAGCTATCACATCTTTCGCATCCCTGTTGCTGGCTTGCCTGTTCTTTGCTATCAGCATCTGGTATTGTCTCAGCAGCTGGGAGTACTCTTCCCTGGTGATCTCACTGGTTCTTGGGTACCAATGGACTAGACAGAGTGAGGTCTATGGTGAAGGCTAGGGATTGGGTAGTTTCAATATTGAGAGTCTGATGCATAGAGTGACTGGTTGCTTTCAGGTAACTGTAAGGTAAAGCAGTTTTTTATCATCTCAGTGACAGTAGATAATGGAACCCAGAAGGAAGCACATGAAAGCAAAACAAGACAAAATAAATAAAAATCAAAAAATGAATGCAAAAGCCATGCACTTTATGGGACTGCCCCATGAATGCTGAGTATTAGTAATGGGTCTTTATTAACTGAAGACTTCATTATGTTAAATATACATATTAAATTTCTAGGATAACCAATACAAACATAATCATATTATATATCTTCCAGATTACCAGAGAGGGAAAAAACTAAAAGAGAGAAAGAGAAAGAAACCAATCAATCCCAAGAAGGCAGGAAAGGAAGGGAAATTTTTTAGAAAAGTGGAATAGAGGAAGAAATTTAAATCTACCAATTTAAACTTAAAGATATCAATAATTGCATAAGATGCAAATTTACAAAATGCTCCAGTTAAAAATAAAGATTATCAGTCTGGGTTTAAAGAAGTCTAGCTCTTTTTAAGAGACATCTCTAGGGACTTTTCCCTGGTGATCCAGCGATTGGGAATCCACCCTGTAATACAGGGGATGTTGGGCTCTGTCCTTGGTGAGGGAACTGAGATTCCACATGCCGAGGAGCAACTAAGCCCCTGTGCCACGACTAAGACACAATGCAGCCGAATAGATAAATATTAAAGAAAAAAGAGAGAGATCTCTAAAACACAGGGACACAGAAAGTTTGAAAGTAAAACTAATGGGGAAAATACATCAGGCAAATACTAAGATCAACAAAAATTAAGCTGTTATAGCTAGATTAATACCAGATAAAATAGACTTTAAGGAAAAAATAAGTACCAAACTTTGAGGATTACAAAATATGGATAAAAATTTCAATTCACCAAAAAAGGTAACCATCCTAATCTTGCATATAATCAACCACGTTGAAATATATGAACATATAACAGAGCTACAAAGAAAAATAGACAAATCCACCACCGCAGTGAGTCTTCAATTCATCTCTCCTAGAGACTGATAGATAAAACAGAATTTAAAAGTCCATAAAAATGTAGCCTATTTGAACATCAAATGAACAAGTTTGATGTTGTAGATATACAAAGAATGCTGTACCTAGCAACTGGAAAATAAATATCCTTTATAAGAACACATACAGATTGTACACTGAGCAAAAGCACCTAGCCAAAGGGACAAGTGAGGGTCAAGCATTTATCCCGTGCTTCACTTGCCAAAACACTTGCTCAGGTGTGCTACTGCATTCACCTGGAAGAAAGGGCACATTTTCCTAATTCACATAAAAGCAGTGTATCAATGAGTGGCAGTCCAGCACATAGAACATAAGTAACCACATACTACATTTAAAAAGGCAAATGGCAACAAATTTCAAAGAATCAGTCTTACAGAGTTCACATTTACTGACCACAATGTTACTAAATTGGAAATCAGTAACAGAAAGCTTAAAAAAAAACAACCTATGTTAGAAAATGTAAAAAGATACTTTGAAACATGTCACAGGTCAAGGAAAAAGTTCATACTAAAAATTAGAAAATACTTTGAACAGAGAAATAATGGACATATTACATATCAAAACTAACAGAAAAAATGATACATTGTAGCTCAAGTGATATTTAGAAATTTATGCTCTTAAACCTTTGTATTATTAAAGAAACAAGGCTTAAAAAATAAAAAGCTAAGCATCTAATTTGAGAAGTTACAAAAAACAATACAGAATAAATAGAAGAAAGCAGAAGTAGAGATATTTTTAAATAGAAAATACTAATAGAAAGAAACCAGCCAAAGAAATCAAATAAAACCCCAAATTGGTTGGTTGAAAAGTCTAATAAAACTGACACACCTCTACAAGACTGAGTATATAAAAGAAGAGAGAGGTACATATAAACAAATATTAGGGAGTGTATCAGTTTGGTTCATGACAGGAAACAGATGACATACTCAAAGGGGATAATTAAGGAGAATTTAATAAAGGAACCACGCACAGGATTGTGAGCAAGATTTGTTGCTGTGATGTAGTTGCTAAGTCATGTCCAACTCTTTTGTGACCTCACTGGGCTGTAGCCTGCCAGGATCTTCTGTCCATGGGATTTCTCAGGCAAGAATACTGGAGTGGGTTGCCGTTTCCTTCTCCAAGGGATCTTCCCAACCTAGGTATGGAGGCTGGGTCTCCTGTATTGGCAAGCAAGTGGACAGGATTAGGAAAAACCAAAAATGGATGGTAAAATACCTCATGATTAGCAGTACTGGGAAACATTAGCACCCGTAAGCCTGAAGGGACAAGTGGAGGAAGTGGTTCCCAAAAACGAAGGAAACAAGGAAAAAATGAAATAATAAGGAAAGAAATATTCAACAGGAAGTGTGGCCTTCTGTCAAAGAATAATTGCCAACTCACGTCACAGCAGGGAGGGAGTCTGGGGAATAAATACCCTGACCTTTCTCTCCTTTCACCATTT